AAAGAAAATGAAAAACAAAACGCACAGAAACCCAAAACCCTCCCATTCATTTACAACGCAAAAGGGTCTAAAAATGTGCTTAAACTATTCAGATTCACATTGTAAAATCATGTAGAAAGAGCCAAGGAAAGATCCCAATTTGAGGTTCATACAAAGCACAACTGTTGGGTGGCCAAATCCACCATCATCAATCTCGAGCTCTCATCAGCTTTTTCTTGAGATTCTCACATTCTCTATTTCTTTACACCTTACAAAAAGAAAAAAAGATTCGTTGGAAAAAATGCAGATGGGTTTTTTGGGTCTTTTGCTAAATGGCCAAACTCAGTGAATGTTGGATTCCTATTGTTCCTTGCCAAACATACATTTCTTTTATTCTCTTCAATGTACACTTCATCTCTCTTTCTGCCCATAATCCACCACGTAGTACACCAAAAAACACAAACTTGTAATTTTTTATATAAAAAATATCGTGTAATTTGAATTATATTAAATTATATAACACAAATCACTCAATGAGACGTGGGTACCATGATACCATGATATTAAGAGACTTTCTTCATTTAATGAATTTTGTTTTACAGTTTAAATTACAAAAAAAAGAAATCATTTTTTAAAGATTCTAAAAGACTTTTCTCAGATTCATGCAAATTACAAACTGGTTTTTTCAAGGAAACCAGCAGTGGTTTTCTTGTTTGGAGCCTTTTCACTTTAGTGCATGATTGATGCAGCAAGGGAACTTACCGTTTTCTCCTTGGTGTTCGGAAATAAATATTTAGATTTAGTTGGTTTTGTTCTTTTGGAGAGATTATGAGCATTATATATTCTTTTTCTTTACAACATCTTGAATCATGACCCAGTGCCAGGCATGCCATTTCACTTTACACTACCCATAAAAGATAAAACTCTGTGTTCTTTTCTTTATCTTGGGCCTGACAAAAAGATTTTTGGTGAATGGATGTTGGGAATGGAAAGTAAAGTGTGGGTTCTGATCTCAGAAATTAACTTAGGCAAGAGAAGAAACTCATTTCAAAGTTTATGAGGAAACACAGTCTAGTTCTGTTAACTAGGTGTCTCAGATTCTAGTGAGTATTTTTTCAGTTCAATGGAAACAGGAGGAGGAATTGCAATATATTTTCTGGTTTTCTTCTGGTTTTGGGCTTATCCTGCAAATGGGTTGCTTTCACCTAAAGGTGTTAACTATGAAGGTAAATGGGAAATTCTCATTCTGTTTCTCTTACCAATTTTTTCAAACCGGATGTTTGCATTAGCTGCAAGTAAGTAGATGAATGAAGGTTTTATGGTACGACTGCATTTTTTGTTTCAGTGCAAGCTTTAATGGCTATAAAGGCTTCTCTTCATGATCCTCATGGGGTTCTAGATAATTGGGATGGGAATGCTGTTGATCCATGTAGCTGGACTATGGTTACCTGTTCACCTGAGAGCCTGGTTATTGGCCTGTAAGTCTAGCTGCAACTTTGAATTTTACATAAAGAATTAATCTTTAATATGAATGTTTCATCAAATAGATGGAGAATTTGAAACGTTGATGGATATTGATTGCATTTGTTGCAGTGGTGCTCCAAGCCAGAATTTATCTGGAACTCTGTCTCCGGGCATAGGGAACTTAACAAATCTTCAGATTGTGTAAGAATTCACAGAAGAATTTGAAAATTAAAGGTTCTCTAGGTGGTAGAATTCAATCATTCTCTTGTTGGACCATGAATGAATGCTGTTATGCATTGTTTTGCAGGCTCCTACAAAACAACAACATAACAGGACCAATTCCTTCAGAGTTGGGGAGGCTCTCAATGCTTTGTACGCTTGATCTCTCCAGTAATTACTTCTCTGGGGAAGTTCCTCCATCTCTTGGTGAACTAAGAACCCTCCAATACATGTAAGAACTGAATTTTTTATGTAGAAGCTCAATGGCTCAAAAGAAATGCCATGTTTTTCTTTTTCCCAGCATATTTCTCTTTTTGTTTAAGTTGTTTGATTAACAATTCTTTTGAATTTTTAGGAGGCTCAACAATAACAGTCTATCTGGAGCATTTCCCCTGAACTTGGCTAACATGACACAGCTTACCTTTCTGTAAGCTTCTTGACCCTTTTCCTCCAAATATTTACAATTTAATTGATTTTTTTTTCCTGAATAAGGCTTTTCTTAATTGTTAATTTTCTATCTTGAACCTATCTTGAACATTTTCAGTGATTTATCCTACAATAATCTGAGTGGTCCTGTGCCCAGGATTGCAGCTAAAACATTCAGGTAAATCCCACTAGCTTCCTATCTCTCCAGGCAGAGAATTACAGACTTAAACATTCATATGAAAGCAGAAAAGGGGAAATTAGCTGCTAATTATTACTCCCCACATTTGTTGTTTGCAGCATTGTTGGGAATCCTCTAATCTGTGCTACAGGATCTGAACCAGAATGTCATGGAACACTACTGATGCCAATGTCCATGAACTTGAACAGCTCACAGAGTATGCATAATCTGTGGCACTGTTTAAAGTTTAATTTCCTAAAAGACACTGAAGTTAAATGAAAGTTAATAATATGATAGATGATATCAATTTAAGTGCCCTTTTGATGTTACTGACCTCCAAATTTTTGCTTCAGAAGCTGCTCTGCCTTCAGGAAGACCAAAAAGTCATAAGCTAGCCATAGCCTTTGGCTTGAGCATAGGAAGTGTCTCCTTTCTCATTGTTGTATTTGGACTACTACTTTGGTGGAGGCAAAGGTGGAATGAGCAGATGTTCTTTGATGTCAAAGGTTTGTGATAACCACACTTCTTTCCATGGTCCTAACTACTTACAATCTGTAGCATCAAAAAAACATATAATGGCTAACCAATCCTTCTTATGCTTTCCTAATTGAAATCTCAGACCGACATCATGAAGAAGTTTGTCTCGGAAACTTGAGGAGGTTCCAATTTAGGGAACTCCAGATTGCAACAAATAACTTCAGCAGCAAGAATATACTAGGGAAGGGAGGTTTTGGAAATGTCTACAAAGGGATTCTGCAAGATGGAACCATAGTAGCAGTTAAGAGGCTTAAAGATGGCAATGCTGCTGGAGGAGAGATTCAGTTCCAGACTGAAGTGGAGTTGATCAGCCTAGCAGTGCATCGGAACCTCCTCAGGCTTTATGGATTTTGTATTACACCGATGGAGAAGCTTCTTGTTTATCCATACATGTCCAACGGCAGTGTTGCCTCACGCCTGAAAGGTATAATACCAGGAGCACAAAAGAAATCATAACTAGTTTTTATTCAAATGGCAACATTCACAAGGAATTGCTCCTACGTCTCTTTTTACAGGAAAACCAGTATTGGATTGGGGCACAAGGAAGAGAATTGCCTTAGGAGCTGCAAGGGGACTATTATACCTCCATGAGCAATGTGATCCAAAGATAATTCATAGGGATGTGAAGGCCGCAAACATATTGCTTGATGAATACTGTGAAGCTGTGGTAGGAGATTTTGGGTTAGCAAAGCTTTTGGATCACCAAGATTCACATGTCACGACAGCTGTGAGGGGCACCGTGGGGCACATAGCACCTGAGTATCTCTCTACAGGCCAGTCTTCTGAGAAAACAGATGTGTTTGGGTTTGGAATTCTCCTACTCGAATTAATCACTGGCCAGAGAGCACTAGAATTTGGCAAGACAGCAAACCAGAAAGGAGTAATGCTTGATTGGGTGAGCGTAACTTCTGTAAATTTTCTCCCTAATTCTTGCATGACCTTTAGGTACTCCAATCCATTTCACTTGTTAACACAAAATGATCCTTTCAGGTGAGGAAAATTCACCAGGAGAAGAAGCTAGAAATGCTAGTGGACAAGGATCTCAAAAACAACTATGACAGAATTGAGTTAGAGGAGATGGTTCAAGTAGCTTTGCTGTGCACCCAATACCTTCCAAGCCAACGACCAAAAATGTCAGAAGTGGTTCGAATGCTTGAGGGCGATGGTCTGGCAGAAAAATGGGAAGCTTCTCAGAAATCTGAAGCAACCAAGAAGCCTCATGAATTCTCCTCATCAGATAGATATTCTGATCTCACTGATGACTCTTCCTTACTAGTCCAAGCCATGGAGCTCTCCGGTCCAAGGTGAATTCCTTCAAAACTTTAATATCATTCATTCATCTTCCAAAGATGGGCAAGAAAATCCAGAAAACAAGATATGGCTGAAGTTTGCAAAAACATATGTGCTTGTATCATAGTGGCATAGGAGACCTCCAAAAGGCTTTGATTTTTCTTTTCTTTTGCTTTTGTTTTTATCCCAACTGTACAAATTACAAATTATGGAGAGATTTAGAAAGGAAAATTTCCTATGTCTAGTGATATGTATTGAGTGAAAATCTGAATGGGATGTCCATTTGAAATTTTGTGTAAGATAAATGATGTAGACTTGATTCTCAAATATAATTTTGAAGCATTAGAAATTATCTTACATCTGCAGCTGCTTTGCATTTCAACTTGGTTCATCTAGTGCTTGTGTTAATTTCTGCAGTAAACTAAAGAATACACTAATTTGAATTTTGTGAACTAATCTGAATTTTGTGTGCTTCTCGGATGTGGAGCTCTGTTTCATTTCAAATTGATAATTGACATACAAAAGGAGTTGCTGAATATATGCAACTTATACATTATAGTTTCTGCATAAAGGATAAAAATAACTACTCCTAATGCAGCTAACTTGTAGAACTAACTGCAGAAAACTAAAAAAACAGTTACAAATTAAAAACGCATAACTGTTGTTAATTGATATATTCAACACTCCTTCTTGCTTTTTATATTTGTAACTCCAAGCATATCTTTGAACTTTTCAAATTTCTGCCTTGGAAGAGCTTTAGTTAGGATATCTGCAACTTGAACTTCAGAATCACAATGCTGCAAAATAATTTCTTTGTCCCGAACATAATTTCTGATAACATGGTATTTAATCTTGATGTGTTTGGTCTTGCCATGCTGCACTGGATTTTGAGCAATAGCAATTGCTGACATGTTATCTACCTTGAGTACACAAGGCTCAATTTGATCAAAACCAAGTTCTTCAAGCACCATTCTAAGCCAAACAACATGATTAGCTGCTGCTCCAACTGCTAAATACTCGGCCTCAGCTGTGGACTGAGCTACGATATCTTGCTTCTTTGCATTCCAAGAAAAACTCCCTGAACCATAGGAGAACACATAACATGTTGTGCTTATCATACCCTCCATAGAACCTGCCCAATCATTATCAGCATACCCCTGTAACCTTCCTTGTTGATTACTGTCAAACCACAAGCCAAGTTCATAGGTTCCTTTGATGTACCTAAGAACTCTCTTGGTTGCAACTAAATGAAGTTTACTAGGAGCTGACATAAACCTTGACAAATAGCTTGCTGCAAACATCAAATCGGGTCTTGTAGCAGTTAAATAAAGCAGGCTACCAATTAAACTTCGGTAGTAAGGGGAGTCAACCTTGGTTTCTTGATCATCCTTGGAAAGCTTTTCATTTTGAACGAGTGGAGTGGCAACTGGTTTACAGTTCTCCATTTCAAACTTCTTCAAGATATCCAGTGCATACTTTCTCTAGCAAATGAAAATTCCCTTGCTCGATTGCTGAACTTCAAGTCCTAGAAAATACTTTGTCTCTCCCAAATTTGTCATTGCAAACTCTTGCATCATAACGTTCTTGAATTGTTCCAACAACTTCAAATCATTTTTGATTAACAATAAGTCATCCACATAAAGTGACAAAATAAGCTGAGATTCACTGTTGCAGCCTTTCACGTGCAGAGTTGCTTCTTCCGTGCTCCTCTTGAAGCCTTGACTCATCAAGTTGTCATCAATTTTGCAATACCAGGCCCTTGGTGCCTATTTTAGACCATACAAAGCCTTGTTAAGCTTATAAACACAATCTTCCTTCCTTGTAATCTCAAACCCAAGTGGTTGTTCAACATAAATTTCCTCTTGCAGAACACCATTAAGGAAAGCTAATTTTACATCCATATGAGACAACTTCCAACCCAAATTAGCAGCTAATGTAATTAGAAGCCTTACTATATCATGTCTCGCCATCGGAGCATAAGTCTCTCCATAATCAACCCCTGACTGTTGAGCATACCCCTTCACAACAAGTCTGGCCTTATGTTTGTGTATAGAACCATCTAGATTTAGCTTAGTTCAAAACACCCACTTCACTCCAATAGGCTTCTTATCATCTGGTTTTGGAAGAAGACACCAAGTTTGATTCTTTTCGATCATAAACAGCTCCTCCTTCATGGAATCAATCCAACCTTATTGTTTAGCTACTTCTTCTAAACAATTAGGTTCTACATAAGCTAAATTACATCTTGTATAAATCTCAGCTAGTGACTTGGTTTTCGAAACCAATGAATCATCATCAACTTTTGTAATTTCAAAACTGGAAACAACATTTGAACTAGCTTCACGCTGCTTATTTGAACCTTTTTCTATCTTCCCTGCATCCCAATTCCAGTGTGCGCTCTCATCAAAAACAACATCTTTATGCACATTCACCTTCTTGGATATAGGATCATACACCTTATAGCCTTTTGCTTGTGTTGCATAGCCTATAAAGATCCCAATTTCTGTCGTCTCATCTAATTTTCCTCTTTTAGCTACTGGAACATGTTTATAACAAATTGAGCCAAAAACCTTCAAGTGATCAACTGATGGTTTTTTACCATACCAAGCCTCTATAGGTGTCATGCCTTTTACGACCTTTGTTGGTAAACCATTTAAGAGATAAATTATTGTATAAACTGCTTCAGCCCAAAAAGATTTGGGCAATTTCTTCTCTGCTAACATGCACCTTGCCATCTCCATAATAGTTCTATTTTTTTTCTCTACAATGCCATTTTGCTGTGGAGTATGACATTGTTAATTAATGATCAACACCAGCTTCTTCACAAAACAAGTTGAAATCATTGGAGGTATACTCCTTGCCATTATCTGATTTGAGTTTTTTAATTCTGCATCCACTTTGGTTGTCAACCAAAGCTTTGAATTTTTTGAACATAGGTAAGGCTTGACCTTTGTTGCCAAGAAAGTATACCCATGTCATTCTTGTAAAGTCATCAATAAAGAGGATGAAATATCTGTTTTGGTTGAGAGATGGTGTTCTCATAGGGCCACAAATATCTGTATGCACCAATTCAAGCTTTTGAGTTGCTCTCAAAGATTTATTCACAGGAAAAGGCAATTTATGCATCTTGCCTAATTGACAACTTTCACAAACATTGTTAGTTAAATGCAATTCTAGAAAATCTTGAACAAGCTCATGTGTTTGCGTATATTTTAGGCCTTTGACATTGAAATGACCATATCTTTTATGCCATAAATTTGCATCCACAATTTTAGAAGCAGAAAAACAAAGCTGCACCTTTTCCAAATCCAAAGGAAAGCTGTTTTCTACCATTTTCACCCTAGCTATCTCATCACTAGTAGGGTCATATATAAACATGAATCATGCACAAAAGATAGAGTGTATCCCTTTTTTATTATTGGTGCCATAGAAAGTAAATTCTAGCTCAAGCTAGGAATAAACAAGGTGTCAGTAATTTGCTTTGTACCTGTTTTAGTTTGAATAACAGTAGTACCTTTCCCTTGTGATCTCACCACAGTACCATTTTTTAACTTGACATTTGTAATAACTGATTTGTCTATTTCAATGAAGAAATTTTCATCTCGAGCCATATGATTAGTGCACCCACTATCAATAAACCAAGTACTAGATGGCAGGGATGAACCTTGAGACATTGTGAACAAGTAGTCCTCCTTGCACTGATCTTCAGCATAATTAACTTGTTGTTGTTGCTTTGGTCTGTACTAAGCTTGCTAATGTTGTGATTGATACTGTCATTGTTGCTTAGCCTTGCAATTCTTTAGCAATGAATCTATGATTTGCCTTTGAACCAATAATCTTTTTGTTCATGGTTTGATTTTTTGCAATGACAGCATGGAGGAAACCTCCCTTTTCTACTTTGTTGATGCTGTTGATATGCTTGGTTAGAACCCATGGTCTATTGCTTTCAGAACTAGTGGCTGGTTGTTTGCCTTTTTGCCTTGCAAGGAAGGCTCCTTCTGTAGTTTCTTCAGTTTTCATAACCAGCCTTTGCTCATGAGCTTGAAGCTTGCTTATGAGCTCAATGATGGTTAGCTCTTTGAGGTCACAAGATTCTTCTATGGCAGAAATCTTGGACTCAAATTTATCTGGTATACAAACAATAATCTTTTCCACCACCCTTCGATCTAGAAATTCCTCACCATGGAGTCTAATTTGGTTGACAACATCCATCAATTTATTTGTATATTGATGGACTGTTTCTATCTCCTGCATTTTCAGCATCTCAAATTGTCTTTTGAGGGTACAATCTTGTTACCTTTAACCCGAGAATTGCCATCAAACTCTTTCTTAGGAGTATCCCAGGCTTCTTGTGCTATTTCTGCTCCCATGATCCTTGAGAAAATATCATCTGTTACAGCACTATGAATATATGAGAAGGCTTTGTATGAGGCTTTGTATGAGAAGTCAGCATGTTGCTTCATCTGGGCTACAGTTGGATTGTTTGGTAGCATAGGAGGATGAAACCCATCTTCTATAGATTCCCACATGCCATTACCTTTTAGAAAGACCTTCATTTTGATAGCCCAAACACTGTAATTTTCTCCCGTAAACCTAGGAGGATTAGAAAATGTTGAAGAATTGTTTGAAGACATGGCTATGTTTTTTGTTTACACAGCTTCTCTCCCTCACCAACACTTGTGTTTGCTCTCTCTCACCAAAATTTGAATCTGTTTTGCTCTCACAGGCCCCTCAAGACAATTTAGCTCTGATACCAATTGTTAATTTCTACAGTAAACTAAAGAATACACTAATTTGTATTTTGTGAACTAATCTGAATTTTGTGAGCTTCTCAGATGTGGAGCTCTGTTTCATTTTAGATTGATAACTGACATACAAAAGGAGTTGCTGAATATATGCAACTTATACATTACAATTTTTGCATAAAGGATAAAATAACTACTCCTAATGCAGCTAACTTGTAGAACTAACTGCAGAAAACTAAAAAAAATAGTTACAAATTAAAAAAGCATAACTACTATTAACTGATATCTTCAACAGCTTGAGCAGGCTAAGTATAAATTTCTGATAATTTACATTGCCAAGGTATTCAGAAAAATGCACTAACACATGAAATAAAAGACTAAATGAAGTAATGCTTAAATCAAAACCATCTTTCTTTATGATAACACAAAGAATAGGGTTTGACCATCATTTTTGCCCGGGTCAAATGGAAATGCATATGGAGCAAACATTAATCCTTACTACTTACGTATGTGGAAGAATGATATTGTCAAGGACAACGGCTTGTTCAAAGGTCAAGAAGATGGGCAAATCTTTTTTTTGTAAATGATCTTTACTAGAGGTGAAACTTCCTTCAATCTCCGAAACTGTTTCCTAAACCTCTTCTGAAAGCATTTCCTGTTTCCATGTTCTTTAATTTCTTCCCATGGTTGAAAGCATTTTGTAATCTCCAAAATACCAAAAAGAGGTGATCTACCGAGTATGAGGTGCAAAAATTCTGCTAAAATTGACAGGTGAGAATTGTAATCCACACTCACAACTTGAAGTTTGTTGAAGTTAAATAGTTGTAGGTCCTCCAGAAACTTGTAGCTGTCAGGAGACTCAAAACAACGGCTAACCTGACATTTATCAACAACAAGAAGTCCAAGTCAAACTAGCTACATAGCACAAACGAATGGAAATAAGTTGAAGCCTTTGTAAATACAACTCACTGAGAATTGGAGCTCCTTCAATTTTGGGAATCCCCTAAGTATAGAAAGGAAAACTCTGACTTCGTTTATATCATTCAAATTCAAGGGACCATCTAGACAGACTGTAGATCGGTGAGCATGTTTCAGAGAAAACATCGACTTTTCATCTTTCAGGTCGAAAGCCTTTAAAAGAAAAGAGAGCAACGAGTTAAAAGGATTTTAAAGATTATGACAGAAACTAGCAAAACCAGAAACCAAAATGTGCAGTATACCTTGAAAATTTCAATAGGAGTAGGACAAACAAGATCAGACATCAGATCACTAAGAGCTGAAAACATCATCTTTCGATTAATCACAGATGGATCATCCAAGCAAAGATTAGCACTTAATAGTTTACCAGTAGCTGAAAACCTGATATTTTCAGTAATGGAAACAATTTCCAAGTATTTAAGTTTTGGCACTTGAACTATGCAATCCTTCAACCTTCGTATGGATGACAGTTTCAAACTCTCCAAAGAGAGGCATACGCTAATTAAAATTTGAGCCTCTCAGGCCCCATTTTTAACAGATTAAGTATGCCTGAGAGGCTCCCATGTCCTTGCTCAGATTTTTTTTTTTTCCCAGCATTTTGCTTCCCAAGAGATGCTAGCTGAACTTGATAATCCCTACTCAAGTTTAGAAAGGAAAACTCCAACTGCGTTTTTTTTTTTTTTTTTTTTCCTTTTTTGGTACATAGTACAGTGATTTAAGCACTGAATAAATGAGAAAAGCCTTAGGCTTATACACTCATAATAAATCCTCAAACTCTAATTCATGTTTTAGAGAAAGTATCCCCTTGATTACCAAGTACTCAAAGTTGTTGCAAACAGAGCAGTGAAGGCGGAAACTATTCAGGATAGGGAATATATAAGTGACACTTATCAGTAACAAAATTCTTTACAGCTAGAAAATGAATCTAGGGACAAACTGTAGCAACTATATATTGTGTTTGGATTCAATATGTCTTGGTTACTCATGTCTTGCTTTGTGCATGATCTTCAACTGGGGCGAAACTTCCTTCAGCTTATGAAATACTTTGTCAAGTCTCTTATGAAATCGAGTTGTATTTCCATTTTCATTAATCTTGCTCCCCAGCGGAACACGTTTTGTGATCTCCAAAGTTTCAAGAAAAGGTGAATTAACAGTTATCAGCTGCCACAAAAATTTGGCTAAAACTCGGATATGAGAATCATAGTCCACACTAATTGCTTCAAGCTTGTTTAAGCGCAGTGGTTCCAGAACCTCTAAAAGATCCATACTTGGATCATTAGAATGGAAAACCTGACATTCATCAACAAATTCAAAGTCAAAGCAACAATACATATGAACATCTGAATTGAACAGAAAATGTCTTTTTTGGAAACTCAGAGAGAAATTGAGCTTCTTCAAGTTTGGGAACTGCTTAATTATAAAAAGAAAAACTCTCATCTGCTCTTCCTCATCCAAAACTAAGCGCGGATATAGGTGGAGGACAGACAGATGATTCATAGGAAGCACCACATTTTCGTTTATAGGGAAGAATGCATCATATGCATTACGAAAAGTAAGACTCTCGAGATGTGGCAGACCACATAGTGCAGCAAGCAAATTGGGTCCAATCTCTGGATCATTACATTTATAGGAATAATCAACAAATGTTAGGCTTTTTGCATCCTCAAACCTTAATCTTTCTAGAGCACAGCATTTCTGAATTAAAGTTTCAAGCTCCTCACCATTAATAGAGACACGCTTGAGGATCAAGCTACTAAGACAACCAAACCCTTGGAACGAGCTCGGAACTTTGATGTTACAGTAATGAAGCTCCAAGTAATGCAGTTGTTTAAAAGCAAACAAGGAAAGAGGCAATTCACCACAACAACCACACCAATTCTCAAGAACAAAGTCCTTCACACCTTTTGTTGATAGAAAATGAATCCAAGTAAGCAAGTCTTCACGCATGTAAATATTGCACAAATCTAAGAATTTGAACTTGACAATAGCATCGTCACGATGAAGTAGGTATTGATACACAATAACTTGGCCTTAGCATCAGTGCCCACTTCTAATGCAAACTCTGAAAGACAACACCATTTACATCTCCACTTTTTCGATAAGATGCTGGTTTTGATTGATTCCTTAAGTGGTAGTTTTAGAAGAATCATATTGAGAATATCAGAGGAAAGATCACTCAGCCTATCTCTCTTTGCTTTTTTAACAAGAATTTTCTTCTTACCCATGATGAGACCCCAAATGTATGTACTTGTGTCAATTTCAGCAACCCAACATTGAGATCTGAGAAAAATTTAGAAGAATGAGTTCAATAAAACAAATAATTCATAAGAAAAATTAAGAAAGTAGTGTATTTACATCACCAAATTAGGAGTGAAACAATTACAAATGAGTAGAACAAATTACTGTAGGAGTTTTGGTGTGGTAGATTGCTTTGTGGTGTAAGCTCCTCAAAACGTTTGAATAGTGTTAGGGTTGTTGTGCATATAAGGATGTTATCTTTCTT